AAAAAAAAAAAAAAAAAAAAAAAAAAAAAAAAAAAGGGAATTAATCTAAAGTACCATAAAAAGCTTAGCTGCAGACTGGAAAATGGCCAGTAAGGAAACACACTTCTTGCAGAGACCCAAATTCAGTCCCCAGCATCCACATGACAACTCACAACCACCTGTATCTCCAATTCCAAGAAACCTGAGACCACAGGCACACAAAGACATAAAGGCAAACTCTCATACATGTAAAATTAAAAAAAAAAAAACACCGCTTTTCATTAAAAATGAATAATCTTTTAAAAAGTTTTAATCATGGATTTGTGTAGAACAACCTGCCAATCCCTTGTTGCATACGAAGTGAAAGGGAAACACAGAAGGAGGCTGTATCTCAGGATTTACTAAGGATCTGTCTTTACCAGGCATCACACTTGAGTGAACGGCCCAAAGGAAAATGTAACCTTTCAGCAATCTGTTGTAGTTCTGACTTTCGGTTGCTACATCCTAGTCACTGGAAGGCTGTTTTCATTTTTTAATATTTTGAAATATTTATTTAGCTTTATTTTATGTGCATCTGGTATGAAGGCATCAGATTCCTTGGAAGTGGAGTAACATACAGACAGTTGTGAGCTGTCATGTGGGTGCTGGGAATTGGACCTGGGTTCTCTGAGAGAGCAGCCAGTGCTCTTAACCACTGGGCCATCTCTTCAGCCCCCTAAATTTTGTTTTAAGTTTATCAGAAATTGTGATACCTGTAGAGTTAAGAAATATTAGAAACTGCCAGGTGGTGGTGCACACCTTTAATGCCAACACTGGGGAGCCAGAGGCAGGTGGATCTCTGTGAGGTTGAGAGGCCAGCCTGGTCTACAGAGCAAAGCTACAGAAAAACCCTGTCTCGAAAAACCAAAACCAACTAAACTAAACTGCACCGGGTTATATTAGGAAAGAACATTTGCTATAAAGTTAGGAGTCTTAGTCTGGGATGAGGTGTCACTGGCTAACTGAGAAGCACCGAGGAAAACCCTTAATTAACTGTGGAAGTCTGTCTTCTCAACCGTAACAGCACAGCCTGCTGTGGGATGAGCCAACAGAGCTGACAAAAGGGAAAGCTCTGTAGCTTTGCATGCATCTCAAACAACAGGGTAACATTAAATACATGTGAAGCACGGTTCTTCCAGCAAACAACTGAAATGGAAAATGTATATGGGGAGCAGTTGTTCTCAGTTTTTAATCCCTCATGACAATGGTTAATGACCCAAGCTCCACCTACTACCATCTATCAGTCCTGCACCCAAGGACCAGTCTAATGTATGCCAATGAATGCTCAGGAAACTAAGTCAACATCAACCTGTGGGCACAACCTGTGAAACCAACAATAAAGCAACTCACTCCATCGCTGTGAACTTATCTTTACATTTTGGGTAGACTGAACATCTCTGCAGTTCAATAAAGAAAATGGCCTTAATAGAATTTAGTTGAGTAGGTTTGTATATTAGAGCACCGATACTATCCAATTTTATTCAGAAAGTATAAACAAAACATAGCCTCACCAGGCGGTGGTGGCACTCCTTCAATCCCAGCACTCAGGAGGCAGAGGCCGGAGGATCTCTGTGAGTTCAAGGCCAGCCTGGTCTACAAGAGCTAGTTCCAGGACAGGCTCCAAAGAGAAAACCCAGTCTTGAAAAAAACAAAACAAAACAAAACAAAAACATACCCTCTTAGATCCAATTCCTAGATATCCTTCAAAATCTTAGACTTACTTTTATAACTTTCCCTAACCTTGTTTTACAATAAGCTTGTCCTTTCCAACAAGAATTTTTGGCTTATAAATCTAGTGCTTAATACAATTCTCCGGTTATTCTCCGCTTAAAGTTTGTCTACCAACTAGAAAGGGGTGTTTGTCTTGCAGCACTGGCCCTCAAGCACTGCGTTACACCCCCACCTGAAAGTAAGCACTTTAAAGACAAGAATGGTGTTTATTTTACAGTAAAGTAACATGCACAAACATTTAAAAACCCAGTGGGCTGAAAATAAAGATTAATAATAGAGATGCAAGGCCCTGGGTTCAATCTCCAGCAACAGTAGAAAATATTAACTATCAGCTAATCAATATTCTATAACCTCTTATCCCAGCTAAGTTAGTCACTCAGCCATCACTAAACATTTAGACTTCTTTGCAAACCAAGGAAAGCACAGGACAGGACAAATATAAAAACCCATAAATGCAACAGCTCTGAGCTTTAAGAAGCCCCACCAGGAACAACTCTAATAGACAGCAGTTATATGCAGAACAGTATGCACTATCAAAAGTGCCCCATAATCATAGTTTAACATATGCACAACACATCCTTCTCCAAATTTCAAAACAAAAACCTTTCGAGAAAAAAAAAAGGCACACAATACTTTTACTTTATCCCTTTCTTAACAGCTAGGAGGGATTAACATGCTAAGTGATATTAAAGTTAGGATGGACATATGTAGACATCTCTATGGATGACTGATAGAATATAGCCATTATATTAAATCCTCAGTTTTTATATTAAAAGCCAGTTACTAAACCGGGCGGTGGTGGCGCACGCCTTTAATCCCAGCACTCGGGAGGCAGAGACAAGTGGATCTCTGTGAGTTCGAGG